CGCGCGGCCCAACGACCCGACCCGGACCGGATCCGGGATTGTTATGTATTGGCTGATTTGTGCAGACCGGTGTATTGCTAGGTATTGCTCGGCAATAACGAGAAATGCCATTATGTCAAGATCAATACCTAACAATACCGAGCAATACCCCAGTTTTGTTAGGTATTGCTCGGTATTGCTAGGGAATTGCTATGTATTGGTCTTGACAGAGCAGTATTTCTCGTTATTGTCAAGCAATACCTAGCAATATCGAGCAATACCCGAACATAGCAATATCGGGTTCCGGTCCGAGTCGGGTCATCGTGCCACGTGGTAAAGAGTAAGAGCATGTGGCGGCATGTTATTGGCCTTCGGATGTATAGCTACGTCAGGTGTCCAGACCTAATAATTGTACCAGGGGGGAGAGCAAAGATCACCTGACTATTTTAAAAATAATTTTTGTAGAGGTTTTAAAAATGCTGCTATAATTAAAGGCGGTAAGAAATTATAATAATTTTAGCAACAGTAAAAATTGCTATTTATAACAATCAATAACAATTGTTTTTAAATTGTCGCTATGAATCGTTGCAGAAACATAATATTTTGTTTTTTATAGTGCGAAGAAATTATAAGAATGTGAACACGTGGCTTCATATGGCTACTGAAAGCCCGCTAAAAACGTTCAAGTCAAGCAGCATGGCCTTAGATAATTACTCATAAATTCATTTTTTGTGGACTAAATTTGAGATAAAATAAATAACGAAAGCCCTTTTTTATCGACGCGAGCTTCCCTGAAAACCATGCACGTCTTTCTTTCTTCTTTTCTTTCACACGTGGCTTCATATGGCTACTGAAAGCCCGCTAAAAACGTTCAAGTCAAGCAGCATGGCCTTAGATAATTACTCATAAATTCATTTTTTGTGGACTAAATTTGAGATAAAATAAATAACGAAAGCCCTTTTTTATCGACGCGAGCTTCCCTGAAAACCATGCACGTCTTTCTTTCTTCTTTTCTTTCACCACCTCTCTCTCTCTCTCTCTCTCTCTCTCTCTCTCTCTCTCTC